TACTTAATACACTAGTAGTGTGTATGGAACAAAACTTAAAAAGTGATAAGTGTAAAAAAAAACAGAAAATAGAATTAACATACCAACAAGAAAAACAAGTAACAACTAGCTATGATCCTTGAGATACTGGGAAATTTCTCGTCTCATGGCGGTGAGTTTGAGTGTAGAAGAGTTATTTTTGCTAAACTTAACGTACTCTGAGCCGGCTCTATGAGTAAAGAAATGTCTGCCAAGTGGAGTCCTGACCGGAGCGAAGCATAGTTTATTTGAACTACCTCTTGTTCTAGAAGATTTGAATGAAAATAGCTTGGAGGCATCAAATGTGATAGAACCCTGTATAATTTTATGCACAGTAATTAAATCATTCATCAATCTCCTTTTGCTAAGCGAGTCCAGATTCAACATTCTGTTTCGTACAACAGCACGAGGAATGCAATTATAAGTGTACCCAAGTGCCCTTATAAAAACCTTCCGGGTGAAACTATTTTGCACCTTCTCGATGGCCTGAGAAATTTTTTCTTGTGAGGGAAAAATATAACAGTTCCATATTCAAGGATAGGTCTAACATAAATTTTGAAAGCCTTAATTAGAACGGAAGGATCCTTGTTTTTGAGTGATCTTAGCAATAGAAAAAGCCTGCTTTCGGCTTTTGAAGCAATACTAAGGCAATGAGAATCGAAACATAGCTTGCTGTTGACTAAAAAACCGAGATCTTTGACTTCAAATGCCACCTCAATAGGAGAGTTCGAAATATAATAATCATTTCGAACATTATTTTTACCAAGGTGCAAAACTTTGGTCTTGTTAATACAGATTGGTAAACCCCAAGTCCTGGACCAATCAAGGACATTGTCAACAGCTCTCTGTATGGCAAGAGAATCACCAGGGGACCTGATTGGTTTGTAAATCTTAATATCGTCGGCAAACATCTTGCAACTTACTCCCTGACACTCAACTAAGGTGGGAAGATCAAACGTATAAATATTGAACAGCACAGGGGACAACACCCCTCCTTGGGGCACTCCACTAGGGGAAAACCTTACGGAAGAGAAGGAGCTGTTAACTCTTACTTGAAATGAGCGTTCAGAAAGAAAGGCCTTGATCCAACGTACGATTGTGGGGTGTACTCCAACTTGCTCTAATTTGCTTATTAATTTGGCATGGCTCACCTTGTCAAACGCTTTTGAGAAATCAAAATAGATGACATCAACACATGACTTTTCATCCAGCGCGGTTACCCAGTCATTGAGGCTTAGGAGCATTTGGGAAACTGTTGATCGACCCTTTCTAAAACCGTGCTGACAATCGGGCAAAACTTGATTCCTATCGAGATGATCCACAATAGCGTCTTTAATCGTTTTTTCAAATAGCCGACAAAGGACAGATGTTATACTTATGGGTCTATAATTCCCAGGATCATTGAAAGGCGCCTTTTTAGGGAGAGGCGACACGAATGCGTGCTTCCATCTGAGAGGAACTTCAGCATAATGTAAACTTCTGTTGAATATGCATTCCAAAGGAAAAGCAAGATAAGGCGCAACTTTCTTCATGAACGAGAGAGGAATGCCGTCCGGTGTATAGGAAACGCTTGACGGCCACTTAAGAAGGTGATTGAGAATGGCGTCTCTTGAGAAAAAAACTGAGTCCCTCATGGTATCAAACGGTCTCAAAAGGGGTGTTTCAAGAGATGTGGCATTGTTTTTGACGTAAACTTTTTGGAATTCATCAGCCAAAGTTTCGGCTTTGTCAAAATCCGTGATTGCTAGTGAACGATCAACTTTCTCAAGAGTACAAATTCTTTTTGAAGGTTGGATCCTAGCTCTAATGTAATTGAAGAGATATGATTTGTTAGAGGAATCTACGATTTTCCTTTCCACGGCACAATTATACTTAAAAAGTCTTTTTTCAAATTTAGCGGAGAATTCTTGATATAATTCCCAATCCCGTTGATCATTACTCAAAATGGCTCTTTTGTACGCATTTCTTTTTTGAACGAAAAGAGTATAAAGATGGGAAGGCAACTGTTTTGCAGTAGCGGAGACTTTTCTAAGAGGCACGAAAAGTTCAATACAGTGGCTCAATACGAAGATAAACAGCTCATACATTTCATTTGCATCTCTACAACATCTGAACGATCCTAACCAATCAATGTCTCGGAGATAGGAGCACACTTCGTCCATAATTGGTGTTTTTAAAATCTCTTTTTCGGACAAAACTGGACTCCTTCAGTGCCGCTTTGAAACAAAACATAACTGTAGCATGATCGCTACTTCCTAGCGGAGCGCCTATGGAAAGCTTTTCTATGACGTCTTTGTTGTTACAAAGCACCAAGTCTAGTAGACTGCGTTTTCTAGTACAAAAATCCACAAACTGTGTGTATTTGTGTGAATTTAAGTTCGATAATTCAAGTTCCAAAGCACTATTTTTGGCCGAATTTCCACTAGACTACATTTTTATACGACTACCGAACGCGATTTTTGCAATAACCGAAGGTGCTGTTAGCTTTGCTCGAAAACTATGGCTTCCACTTTTTAAGGCCTTGAACACAACATGCTCAACAAACCAACCCGCACAATTTTCTTATTCTAACAAAAATTAGCGCAGAACTGAGAGGTATCAACTAGTAATATGGAATGATTTTCGGAAAGGTTGTGTGAGGGATGGCGGGAGCATCGAATGTGTTGAGAATGTTCGTTTGATATCGATCGTTGGTGGAATTTAGCGAAAACATTTGATAGGACCAGATGTGCGTGGAACTGTTTGGGAAGCTGCTATTGAATCAAGCATAACCTATTTATGATTTTATGTCACATGGTATAGGTTAAAAACTCCGGAAAAGTCGATAAGGGTCTACAGAGCTGCGATGCTACCATTCTAGTCCAAGGAAAAGGACTAGTTTTTCATTCGAATTATAAGGTGCAATTTAGCATGGATTCTTCGCAGGAACCCAAACTTCAGCTGAGTGATTCAATCACGATCATCAATTCTTGTGCGTCCTATGCTATTGGTTCTACTTTACGAAGCACCGATACCACCTTCCTTCTAGAACTGATCAGTCAGACCGTAATGACATCTGTCAGTAAGCAGCAATTCCTCCTCAACGCGTTTGCTGTTTACTAGCTGGTTATCGTTTTTTCCAGCTTTGGCTGCAAGTTTGTAGACAGCAAGGTGCACCAAGCATTTTAGAGTGAGCAATAAGGCCCTCTCAGTCATTTCCAACCTGAAACACGACAATTCTTCGCTTATCGTTCTTCTTCATGCTGCAAGCGTCCTAGAATCATATGCCATCAAGTGCTCTGCGGACTTCGCAGACGTTTATGCACAGTTTGCTTCCTCCTGCCACGCGCTCGTGTTTCACATTGGTGCGCGAATATAGCAATACAATTTTCATTTCGCATGGAAAGTCCATCATAGCCTAATTATGCAAAGAATTGTCGGCAGTATTTTTCTCTGATTTCTGTGTGTACATAAACAGTCTGTGAATCCAATACTTAATAGCTGTTTGGCGTCATTTGTGCGGATGTAACTGACTTTAAGTCGAGCTTGAACAATTAGACGGTAAAGGATCCTCTGTTCAAGTAACCACGCCCATTACAGGCAGCCGCTCTGCGCCACACTGCAAGAATTCTTGGTCCCGATATCACAAGCAACAATGGCTAATGCGATAGCATCAGTACATTAAATGCGAGCCTGCCGTTCTGCTCATACGAGTGAATGGCCTGGGGAGGTAATGTTGATGTGTCTCATCTTATCAGTGGCAGTCAATGCCCAGCAATGATACAGGGGGGGGGGGGCAAAAAAGACATTTTGCCTATGTCGGACTTCGGCTCTTTTTTCTTCGCAGAGATTGCCGTCGTTGACGGGAGTTCCTCAGAGTAAGTCCCTCTATAAGTGACGCAGGCCCTCCTTCACTGCCCTCACCGTCTTCAGAATATGACGTCATCTGTCACCGTCGTCAGCTCAAGGAGGCTACCGTAACTGCTTCAGCCTGAAGCTCTTACATAATTTCGTGAATCGATTCAATGTTGGATAGTTTCCTAGAGGCATTAGCTCCCACTATGCAAACCCCTCGAAACTAGCTTTCCAGTAAGGTCGTTATGGTACACGATCCTTCGAAGACCCCATTGAGCTCGACCAGTGCACCATGTTTCCGGGGCAAATTCTGATGCCGGTCACTATGAAGATTTTCTTATGAAATGTGCTCTCCAATACCGAATCGGAACCATTCGGTCTTTGAGCAGAAGTGTGATTAAATCTATCTAAATGTGGAGACAAAATGCCTTCTTTTTTATTGCCCCCCCCTCCTGTAGATACTTAAAAATACCACTGCACAGGACTTCCTTGTATACTCTGTACTCGTACACATGGTTCGCTGTAAATTTATTCAGCAACTTAGGCAGACACAATCTGACAGTGATGCGTATTCTCGAAAATCGTAAACGAAGGCACTCAGGGCAAAGAAACAAAGAGTTAAGGCACTGACTGACTAGAGATTTAGAGAAAGGTACCTAGGGTACTGAGCATGAATGTAATACAACAACATCAGAAGTGCAAGAAAACAAGGCAATTATTATATAAAAAGGCCTTAATTCACCTAGAGTCATTCACACCGATCAAATATTTACAACAATATGAAGGAAAGCAAATACAACAGTGCTAGTGAGGAGCCTGTCAGTGGTGATGGGGAAGCAGCCGCCGACGGCTTCTAGTGCTCCCGAAGCACGAAAACCTTATACAACGTAATAAATACAAACAGGAAAGCAGGCATGCGGTGTAATACTTCGTGAAGACTGTGCGATAGTAACTATGCTGGTGCTTGTTCGGCGGTTATCGGCCTAAAAATCAATAATCGATTGGTTAGTGGTGGAAGAGTTACTGTAGCAAGCAGATAGAAAGGAACAGATTTAGAAGAGGGTAAAGGAGTGGCAGTTAAGGACGAAATAGAACGGCAAACAATAAGTCATTGAAATAAATACAGATAGGAAAGATTGAGCGCTGGTTTATCGTTTATCTTTTATCTTTGACAATTGGAGGGGTAACTTACTGAGGATGAGACGAGCTTTACATTGGGCGGCTCCTTTTGGATTTCGAATCACGAGTTGGTATTCGCCGGCCTGATTGTGCGTTACTCGAGCGATCTCCAGTACGGCGCGTTTCCCTTCGAGTGTGATCTGAAGCAAGAAGGGAGCAGTTCAGATATAACATGATCACTATGATGTGATATGCGACGCAAAAGATAGCGAAAGACTACAGAAGCCTAAGAGAAGTTCTCCAACACGGTTCGCTCATGCAGCAAGGACGCCCAATAGTCGCCTCTGATATGACAACTTCTAGAGAATGTACCGCTGTATTTGTATTCCAGGAAAAAATGCTGTGATTACTGGTTTATTCATCCGTTCCAAAGTATACTAACAATTCTACCGAAACTCTCTTTCTAGGGTAGGATATAAAGACGACAAAAATAGTGAGGATATTTGTAATGCACTCGTCAAACTATACAGTAGAAAGGAGGATCAGGGGTGCAATGCAAGTGGGACGGGAACGCTGATTTTTTGAAAACGGTAGGCACGAAATGCATGTAAGTGGGGACTGCTGCCCGCTACTATGGTGTCACGAGAATTGAGGAATTCGTGAGCCAGGGGGAGTGTAGCCAATTCTAGGGGGTGGAGGGTGAGGGCAGTCACTTGACATGCGTGAAAAGCTGGAATGTGTGAGTTACTTCATAGCGTCTTGTCACGTCATAGCAGTGGGCAGTCTCTATGCACATACACTTCGCGCCTACCGTATCCAAAAAATCGACGTGCCCGTCCAACTAGCATTGGGTCGGATTAGGCCCTAATGCCGAAGAGAAGAAAGATGTGAAACGAATTCACATAGCGAAAGTCGCGCTGTTCGGGATGATTACGTGACTACTTGAACTCTCCCCTGTGTTCTCTGCCGCGAAAGGCCAGAGCACAGACGATTAGAGAACGGCGCCTGGCTCGGCTCCAAATCCCAAGAAGGAAGGTGAGAGCCTAGGACTAAGCCTTGGAGGGAGGAGGGACTCCGGAGTGGGTGAGCCAATTACATGTGGCAAAGTTTGAATGTGTCAGATCACAGTAATCATAAGCCGCTGTTTAAGCGAGAGAGCGCAGGCGAGAGCATCAAATCGAGGCGGTTTAAAGGACCGAGTTCAAGTTGTCCGTAGATTTCGGGATAGAGCACCGCGAAAAAGTATTTAACGCTACTTCACAAGAGATAGCGAAGGAGCAGACTTTGTTATTGGGGCGCATTTTCTACTATCGCATCCGCCATATGTTTCGCCGTAAAGGCTATTCAGAGGAATCTATAATTTCCCACGGACTTACCGAGCATAAGCTTGCTTTGCTACTCGACAAACGGCTACTAACGGCCCATTTAAGTTTCTCATGCTCACGCTTAACACCTAAACACCCAGCTCAAATTCTTTCTCTAACCACCCTCTCTCTCTCCTACCAGAACCACTTTATCTACGTGATATGCGCCTTGGGCAGTCGTCAGCCATTCGCTTGAGTATTGAAGCAAACTAGTTCGGCCTTGGTTTTTCGATTAGATTGTCGCGGGCCAATGACGCGCACATGACAATTGAACCATAAGATATCACAATTTGGCCATGAGTATGGTTTGCGTTCATCGGAGCTCAGCACTAGAATTGCAGCGGTTCACGTCATCGCCACCGCCGTCGCCTGCACCTTACCGTGTCATAAACGTGCAGTGATTGTACGAATTGGCAGATCCACATTACTCAAATCTCGTTTCCCGGAAGAGCCACTCCACCAAATCACCACAGTGTTCAAGTGAATGGATTCGTGGACGTTTTTCACGTCAAAAACGCATCAGAAAGAGTCGGAGAAAATCGTCGAACCTTGATATCTTTTGATGCAGCCAGAGGTTTTCCGTTGTACAGCCATTCGGCCGTGGGCATGGGATTACCATCTATGTCGCAGGCGAATTTGACGGTGTGACCTGAAGGCGAGACTCACTGATACCTCTCGCACACCCTCGGTGCTCCTTACCGTCGCCCTCGCTCTAACGAGGACTGCTACCCACCTTGACGAGCCGTGATATCGCTGAATCGCGACACGAAGTGTGGTGCATCCGAAGCAGGCTTGTCCTCGTGAGTCACCATGCCACCCCTGGTTATGGTTGTCTTCGCGATGCGTCCAACTTTCGCTGTAACGCTTCGGCTATACTTCATCTTGTACAGTGCATACCTATCGATTGTTCTCGCAAGAATAATCAATTCGCTCAGCTAGCTACATCTACGCCTGTGAGTCCATGAGGATTTCGTTCGGTTCTGAAAGAAATGTGGAGCAAAAGATGAAAAGCACTTACGAGTGAGCACGAGGTTCGCCACCGATGATGCTTTACCAGCTGGATTACTGGCCTCAACCTTGTACTCGGCAACGTCTTCCTGTTGAACGGCAGTGATCGTGAGCTTGGCTTCGTCCTTCGTCTGGGTGATCTGAATACCAAAAACTTTAAAATTACAGCAAAAAAAGCTAGGAGCCGGGTGAGGATTACCTCGTGACCAGCTGATCGCTTGATCGGCTCGTTGTTACGGTACCATCGGATAGCCGGCGCTGAAAATGGGTACGGTAGAATACTAGCTATCCAACAAGCAACTACACGACTTACCTGGGAATCCGATGAATTTCGCAGTGAACGTGGCTGACTTGCCCTCATCGAACAATCAGCGGCTGAATTTGAGTGGTAAATCGAGGTGCCTCGTATCGTGGCCCTTCCTCAGATCCTTTACCGGTCTGGGTCAGGTTCACGTTCAGTCGAGCTTTACACCTACAAAAAATTGCGATTGAAGGTAGCGTGTCATGGATAAGCCATGCACATGCTACTCACCTCGCTTCGCCGGCAGGGTTCTTAGCGACGCATTCATAAACTCCCACATCTTGAGGCAGAATGTTTGAAATTGAAAGCCTGTACTGTCCGTCGGTTTCGGTGGCTTGGAATCGTCCGATATTTGGCAATGGTTGTCCGTCCTGAAAAACAAACCCGTAATTATTTTATAGGATCCCATCTAAAGGAGACGGGACCATTACCTTGAAACCAGTCAGCCGGGGCATTCTGAGCGATACGTAGGTCGTTGAGCTTCGTGGCGAAATCGGGTGCCTTACCCTTCTGTACTGGAGCGGTGAGGGTAAGGTTAGCCGAGGTTTCGATCTGGAAGAATCAAAATTCAAAAAATGATTGGCAGTCAGGAAAAGTTGTGTCGTACCGTTCCAGCCACGTTCTCCAAACGAGCCATGTATTCGCCGACGTGATTGTTCTCCAATCGGCCAATATGAAGGGTGGAACCATTGTTGGTGGTGGTTATCTGATTTCGGAAACTGCTCTTGATCTCCTTTCCATCCTTGAACCATGTGACCTTGATAGGTAGAGCGCCATCGAAGGCAACGAAGAACCTGAAGGTGGCAACACGTAAAGCGAGTGGAACGGGGTGAGAGGAGGCTGGATGAATATGGCAAGAGTACTGGTCAAAGGGCCGTCAGTGGCAGGACGTAGTTGGCGGGATTGAGGTATGAAACTACCTCTGCTAGAGGCTTCCACTATTGGAGAAGATTAAGAAGAACATCAAAAAGGCTTCAAATAAGGTCCCCCTTTCGCGATTGCTCCTAAGCACTGTGCATGCATATAGTAACAGAGATTGAGCTCCTGCACGGGGCAGCAAGCACTGCAGAGACTAAAGAGTAGGGAGGTAAGGGATGCACACATCAACTCATCCGCCAAAAGACATTCACTTAAAGCAGATTCCGGCACAGAGGCCCCTCCCAGACCTACGCATCATTCCCCGCCTTTGTATGGCACGATCGTGCAGGGAAACCAGAGAGCATCCTGCGCCTGCAAACCCGCCGACCCTACTATTGGACGAGATTGCTACAGTTAGCTGGGCGTGTAATGTGCTTTTAAGTCCAAAAGCTCATATATCGATTCACTTGCTCAAAACAATTTCAACCCAGGAACAGTTGCTAGGCTACTGTCTATTCGCCGCATACGCTCCAGGTCTTCCTAGGAATAAGATGATAGCTTACTTTGCGGCTTTTCCAGGTTCTCCCTGAATAGGCTTCAACTGTTGCGAGACAGTCGGTGGGGCCTGTTTGGAGGCACCGATCTTCGTTGGTTGAGGCTGAAAAGATTCGATAAGTGATCCCTCAGATTACTGTAGCTACTAGCTCTATGATGCACACTAACTAAACACCACTCAACAAGTCACAACTTTCTAAGAGCTAACTCTACCATATCACATACAATCAATACCAATCGATTGGAAACTGAATCTTTTCACTCAAAAAGTGTTATATGAACGTTAAGAACACATGCGAAGAATAGAAAAGGATTATCACCGACCCGGACCATATGGAAACTGACGATGCGTTCACGTGGTCTTGGCGAGAACTGGTATACGGTACGCTGAACTGCGTGTTCGTCCAATTCGACAGACAGACGGTCCACGTGTTCGTCTCAAATTCGACAAAGAGGTCCACGGCGGTTACCGCACGGTGGTACGCGATCGCGATACGCTTGATCATAATTAGATGATTATCGTGCCTGTAAGTTTCTAGAGTCACACCCTTACACAAACGAGAACATCACTCTCAAACGATCCGAAAAAGCGATGGGCCGGCGTCTAGGATGGGCTGTGTAATGTCAGTTATGTAGGCAAGAACACATTCATTACATCTCTAGATCATGCTGTGCATGGAAGCCGGCACGGATTGGTGCCAGCATGGCACACTGCGAACTCACTCTTGGTGTTGATCGCGTGCCGTCGTGCATTTCGATCAACGGGCTTCTCACTGGTGATATCCTCATTTGCGCGGTTTTTTGCTGTCATTTCACGCTCTCGCCGGGTTTGGCGGATGATTGTTGGAATTTCGTCTGTAAGGTGTTTCAGTTCAGGAGAGGATGCAAGGGATTGTGGTGCTTTAGAAAGGAAGGATGTGCATTGTATGATTCGCTGAATAAGGAGGAAATTGCATTAGTAAGCAATAGATATGGCTATTCAAAAACGATTTAAGCATTTAGGTTGTCCATTTTCTGTAAAGCCTCGAAAATGTAAAGCAAATAAGCAGAGGACTCCTTCCCGGTTCTCGACCAACGAACTCACCTTGAGCTCGACTTGCTTGCTTGTGTGGGATAATTTCTTCCTTGGGCTGTTCAGGACCTTGTTGGACTGCCTTCAGCTTCGCTTTTTCTTCAGCGATTCGTACATGTTCTCCAGTTTCAACCTAAAGTAAGGCGATTTCCCCAGTGTGGCATGAGAATGAGCTTTGGTAAGGCAATACCTCGGATGCGGGTTTTGGCTTGGCGACTTTCAGCGAAACTTGGTCTCGAGCTGGTACTTCGACCTCCTTCGGTGGCGTAGCCAACTTTTTGAACCTGCAACTTGAGGGCTTGGAGCAGCGTCCAAATTGATTTTCAGCATTCCTTCATCAGATCACAATTATGGGACAAAAGCGCTACCATCAACTAACCTTCCTTCAACGTTTCCTGGCAACCTGACTCCACCTTCTTGGGCCCATTCTGGTTGCTCGGGTTCGGGCACAGGCTTCTCCAATGATGGAATTGGACGCAGATCGACCTATACAAGAATTCAGTGACTAATGGTTACCGTACCTCAACCGATATTCTGAAAAATAGCCTACAGGTTCCAGTCCTTCCCGTGGCGGTTGGTATCGCTCGATATGACCAGGTTTGAGCTGAACTGGCTCCAATTCCATGCCCTTGAATGGTGGCTTCTGGGCTTCCACCTATAAAATACTGCGGTAGGACGGATTGCCCAGAGAAAATTAGTGGTGCAATACAAATAGAAAGACGCAATAAGTACTGACGTAGGAGAGCTGGCTGTAGAACTGTTCGTCGCGAGGTCGCGTGAACTTGTCCACAAGCTCTTTGGTCTCGAGCGGCTCGAATGGTGGTCGAGTCCTGAAACATTGTGGGATGAAGCAAAGAGAGAAACAATTCTTTTCTCTGAAGCATTCCAAATAAAGGAC